ATGATATTTTAGGGAATTGTGTGCTTCTAATTTCACAGCAACAGTTGGGACAGGACCCTTTTCTATTCTAACATGAGTATACCTCTGTGTTTAAGGCAAGGTTCAAAAAGAAATGATTGATTGAGTCAGTGTGGAAGAACTTGACTGGTCTGCTGTGACTTTAAATGCAGACCTTGAGCCGAAAACTCATCACCAAACACTGATGACTTGCACATACACTATATGGACAAAAGTATTGGGACACCATCTTCTTTAGAACAGAAAAAGGCACTTCCAAAACTGTGGCAACAAAGATGGAAACATAATTTATGTATTTAAAACTTGTATCTACAACACGGTACAGTAACCAACAATGCAATGGCTCGTTCAGTTTAATTCATATTTATTTGTATAACCCATTTCACAACACATTGTTTCAGAGCAGCTTTACAGAAACCAGAATAGTGTTTATAGGAGTGGGTATGAGAAAGAACAGTTGAAGTCTAGTACACATTATAGTATTTACAAATAACGTATATGCATTTAAGCAAACTTTGTGTGCATTTTAAAGCAATGAAAATGTCATCGTTTTGTATCTGGAGTCCTCTATTCACAGGTGCTGGGTCATATGAAGTCTTCATAAGAGGCTAGATTAAAAAATAAATAAAGTATTAATTACTGCACTCAAAGGATGGCATGCACGTTCAATAATTAACGTATAATGTAATTAGATTTGATGTTGATAGCCCGTTTTCGCTCTTATCTCATTGTTATTTACATTTTAAAATAGTTTATTGTTTGTTTCTGAAAAAGAGACACAAATAGAGACGGTCCCTAAATTGATAAGAAGCTATGAAACGCGGAAGCGTCGCGTTGTTGAGGTGGAACGGAGAGCGTCATTCTGCCTCGTAGTTTACGAAGTGTCTAAAATAAATAAATGCACCTATTTGTGCAAGTCACTGGTGTTTGGTGATGAGTTTTTGACTCAAGGTCTGCATTTAAAGTCACAGACAGAGCAGACGCTCTCAGTTCGCTGAACTAAATGATGTTTATTTCTACAAATGCAGTGCAGTTAGGCTAAGCCCACGCCAGCGCTCGCGCCTCATGTTTGCAGCTGAATGCAGATGATTATAACTGATGGACCAGTATGCTCATGAAAAGACCTCAGCTATCCTGCGCCAAGAAAAGCGAAAGAAAAAAAGGCCAAGATGAAGCGCGTGCATCACTTACAGGTACGTTCATAATCCTGTGAATCTTTTTTGGAAAGTGTTTTAATGTCAGTAATAATTTCACCACCACCAGCGCATCTAATATTCTCTCTGAGTTTCAGTGTTCCCTTACAACAATTAGCCATGTTTTACTGCCAATAAAACCAAAAATCATGGTTCTTGTAGCCATGGTAACCACAACTTAACCATGGGTTTGTTACTTCAAATAATAGTTTACAAAGAAGTATTAATATATATATTTTAATATTTTTTTTATAATATTTTTTTTTGTGCGTGTGGTTATAAAAACAGACCTAAGCCAACAACAGCCTTTAAAATGACTTAAAATCCATTATATAAAAACAATGAGGCAATAAAATGAGGAAATCTGTTGGAAGTTGTATTTTCAAACTTTGAAGTGTTGTTAATTGAACTCATTTTCTGCTTCCTAGACATTTGCATTAAGAGAGCATAGTGATGAATCCTGTTACCTTCAATTTATTCCTTAAAATGTCTTTATTTGCTCTTAAAAAGGTCTTAAAAATGGCCATCATAAAACCTGCAGAAGCCCTGATAACACAACACTCACTGTAATGAATGTAGATATTGAAATGCTGAGATGATGTCAGCGGAGACTTGTGTTGTTATTGCTGTCCGAGCTTCTGTCGGTGAAGTTAAGCGAATGTGATTCAGATTCAGAGGAAGATCCAGCTCAGCTCAGTTCCCTTCAGATTCAGCAATGCTTGTTGTTTTAGGCTTGTTCGGTTTTTATTGGACACATGCTTGTTTCTTCAGGCGCATCTGGTGACTTGGTTACATGCTTGAGGGTTAGTCTAATCTGGCCACAGCTTGCTGCTTTAGGCTGGTTTGTTATCTGCTTGTTGTCTAATTCAGATATTGCTATGAGTTGTAAACCTGAGCTGAGCTGGTCAAGCTGAAGGCTGGATGTTCTTCAGTAGGTCATTAGTGCTCTAGTTTTGGGATTTGATCATTTCTGGCACGTTGATTCACTTGCTCTCAGTTTGTGTTGGGTCTTTTGGACATTGGTTTGTTTTATTGGGTTTTATCATTGCTCTTATGAATCGAAGGTTGCTTGTTGAGTTCTATCCAGAATCAGTGTTGGTAACGCATTACAGGCAACGCGAGTACTTTTTTAAAGTAACTAGTAAAGGAATGCATTACTTTTTAATTTAGAAGGAAATATCTGGGTTACTTTTTCAAATAAGTAACAGCAGTTACTTTGTTTCCATGTATTGAGTGACAGCTCTGGTGTTGCCGTGGTGACAGAAATCAGGAGTAAGTGCAGAGCGTTGTGTGTGAACATGATCTTACTGTAGTTCTAGACTAAATATCAACATGTGTTTACTCATCTCACTGCACACAAACACATTCAGTGTTCCTCAAAATCAATAAAAACAGTGAAATGCAAACTCAGAATATTATACAAACCTGCAATAATTAAATATGTTAAATAAGACAAATATCATTTATGTATTTAACCCCATTTTATTAACCAACGTCTTTGCTGCTGACCTTCGATGATGGAATTTAACCATACCAATAATGCAACAGCAAGATTAATCTTTAATGAGCCGAAAAGAACACATGTCACACCTCTGTTCATCAATCTGCACTGGCTACCAGTAGCTGCTCGCATTAAATTCAAGGCATTAATGTTTGCCTACAAAACCACCACTGGCTCTGCACCCCTTTACCTAAATTCATTACTTCAGAGTTATGTGCCCTCTAGAACCTTGCGTTCTGCAAGTGAACGTCGCTTTATTGCTCATCTCAAAGAGGCCCAAAATCACTTTCACAGACTTTTACATGAACTGTTCCCTCCTGGTGGAATGACCTGCCCAACTCAATCCCAGCAGCTGAGTCCTTAGCTGTCGTCAAGAATCAGCTAAAAACACATCTCTTCCATCTAGGGCTGCACGATTAATCGAATGCGATTGTCATGCGCATTTTGTTAAAAAAACGTGCTTTCAGATGGAGCAGCATTTACTACACAGAGCCGTAGTTCACTGACAAGTTACGCAAAAAAATCGCGATATTATTGCACAATTCTGAAATCGAAGAAACCGTTCGGGATCACTGAAAGATACGCATGACAATCAGCTTCTGTCGAATCGCGATCTACATTCCATTTCGATTTATCGTGCAGCCCTACTTCCGTCTTTATTTGACCCTCTAACTCTATCCCTCTCTATTCTAATTCTATTCTTTCAAAAAAAAAACGTCCCTTTTCGACTTGCACTCTATTGATTTACTAACTGCTTGTTTTCTTTAAAAAAAAACTAACACTAGCTTCTCTAATCTTTTGTATTCTATCTTTGTTTTCTTTTTATTTATTATACAATTAACAAAAGCAAAAAGGCCTCTAACACTACCTTTATTCTTCTTCTATTCTATCTGTTTTCTTTTTATTTATTAAAACCTTGCTACGTGTACTGTGTTAAGCTAACTGAGACTTGTTATAGCACTTGCATATTATTGCTCTTTTGTTGGTTTTGATTGCTTCTATTGTCCTCATTTATAAGTCGCTTTGGATAAAAGCATCTGCTAAATGACTAAATGTAAAAGTAATAAGCAAAAGTAACACATTTGTGTTTTATTTGAGTTATTGCTGAATAGTGCTGAACTTTCTTCTCCTGCGTCATATTCTTCATGTGATTAGTTTGAGCGGCGCCCTCTACTGTACAGACGTGAATTTACATTTCCTTCAGCCTGAGGCGCATTCATTTCACTTTTGTTGTGAAAAGGGTTTTTACATTAGTAAAAGAAGAACTTTTTTATATTAAAAACAAACAAGCAAGCCCTGCCCAAATTTCAAAAGTAACTCGAAAGTAAAATAATGCATTTCTTGCCATAAAAAGTAACTAAGTAATGCAATTAGTTACTTTTTTAGGGAGTAACACAATATTGTAATGCATTACTTTTAAAAGTAACTTTCCCCAACACTGTCCAGATTCATACAGCAATCTAAACTGTGTGCTAATTATAAATGATCTCTGACAGCAGAGATTTGGACTGAACTAAGGGTTTACTACAGCCAAACACACACATTTACAGAAAATGATCATTCAGATGCTCTCATAACTGTGTTCGGTTTGTATTTGACATCCATTAGAAATATCTGATCTCAGATCAGCTCTCACAACCCAACTATGGTAATAACCACAATGTTTTTGTTGGTGACGAATGATTTACAAAGAAAAATCCTTTCACACATTCATTGGCAACCAGAAATAAACCATCACATTCAAAATCATAAATTGGTCTTATGATTTATTTTAAAGAGCATAATAAAAGATCTCTTCCAAAGAGTCGCAGCGCCAGTCGTTGGTTCAAGAAGAACCTGATGAGGAACAGAACATCTATATTCATCTTTCCTTTGGAGAACCTTGAACTAGATAAATACTTTATTTCTTGTAACATCATAGACAAACATAATTACTGTAACGTCACAAACACCAGATATGATTTACATTGTATCATTCTGTCATAAACAATCACATAAACACATTTACATCAACTAACACTATCTATTCAATAAATTAAATGACTCATTTCTATGTCATAAACACAATATTAAACAATCATCAAATGCATGAAGTTGACAGATAGAAGAAGAAACTCAACGGGCCTCTGACGTGAAACTGGCTTCTGCACAAATCACTTGTAAATCTGCTTTTATGTAAAAAGGGTCACTGAACTGAAGGAAGTGATTTGATTTCTAAGGGTTTACAAACAGAAATTCGCTGCTGCTGTTTCATGATTGAGGCCAGTTAAGCTGGTTAGTAGCTGATTTAGTCTAAAAAATATAATGACTCTTCTTTATATATTTATAAAATAAGTGAACAAACAAATGCTTTATTCAAAACTCTAAATTACATCTATAATACATCTGATTTGCAAGGAAGTGATTCTTCAAGAGCTGAAGTGAAGCGGTTGATTAGTCCTGCATGAAGCAGGCGGCGGCTCAGAGTCTGTGAGGTTCAGGGTTAAACTCGAACCTGCAGCTCATCAGACGTCATGAAAGCAGCAGCAGCAGGATCTGAACACACAGAGCCGTCGCAGTGAGGGCGGGGCTCCAGGAGGAGGAGCCTGAGAACGTCCTGTGCTGATTGGCTCTGCCGTGCTCCTGTGGGTGTGTCTGGACTGGGATGTAACCGTTGATGATGCGGACGACAGGAGGCGGAGCCTCGGCCGTCACACTGCGAGAAATGAGAGAGCGATCATGAGAAACGCACGCCTTCATCATCATCATCATCATCATCATCTAATGGTTATCCAAATCCAATGTACAACATCTGACATACAGTGAAAATTTTGAACGATATATTTCTACTACAGTGTGTTCAAAATCAAAAATGCTCTCTCTAGAGTTATTTTTCTAGCTGACTATCAAGTTTATGGTCATTGCATGTTTTTTTCTGAGTTAAATGTGACGTTACGTGACATTATTGATCTGAAGCTGTTTTATTGACGTCTTTCTGCGGTTGAAACACCGATCGATCGATTACATGATTCATGATTCATTTCAGTGAGTTGTTCGGTTTCTTCTGATGTTCATTCAGGTTTATTTGGTGCTGTAACTAGTAGTAAAGAGGAAGAGATTATTAGTGATCTGTCAGCACACATTAAAGAGCAGCAAAACCAGTTAGTGACAGAAGTGACAGAATTTGAAAGCTGAGACTTTGTTTCATGTCAAAAGTAACAAAGCTTGTGAATGTTTCATCAAGTTTTGTTCACACGTCAACTCAAAACTGCACAGAGCTGTTCTTGGGATTTAAGAATTGATACTGGTTCATCAAAATGAGAATTGATTAAAATCAATAAAACAATATTTTTTCAACCCAGCCCTAATCATCATCATCTAATGACTATCCAAATCCAATTTGAAACATTTGCCAGATTTCAGTCTGAGCAGTGAAATGTGGAGGATTCGGTCGAATCTGAAGATGGTTCCCAGTCACTCAGATCTATCGCAGGACTGCGCCTCTACAGCTGAAACATCAGCCGCTTCAGTGTTTTCAGAAGAACTCCACCTGCAGATCCTCAGGGTTTCTGATGGAGTCACGTGTGTTTACAGCAGCAGCGTCGCAGCGTCTTCAGTCACGTGAGCGTCTGAAATCTGCTCGTTTATGAAATATGAAGAAGGAGGCAGGGAAAGTAAATGGAGTCTGTCAGAGCTGCTGAGACGGACGGGGAACACAAATAAAGAGTTTGAGGATTTCATTCCCGTCCTCCATCTGTGTCAACACGTGTGTGTGTGAGCGTCTGTGGACGCGATGAAATCCAGAGACGCACGATTCTGTCTGTTCTGGATCTGCGGCCCGTTTCCCTCCACGGGTTCAAACAAATGAAGTCTATATTCAGCACCCTGTGTTTGTTTTGACCGTCTGGGACCCTCTTGGCTTTCATAAACAGTTTATTAAAGAAATATTTTTTTTGCTCAAAATTACGTGGGCGACTGTAAAAAGTCAATTCAAGCAAGTTTCCAGAACACGGTTCAGGCTCGGCAGAGAACATGTCGTGTGGGATTTGACACGGGAACAAGAATCAGTCTGTTCAAAACCTGATTGGTGTAAATTAAATATAGCTCGTACAGATGAAGAATTCTGGAACCAGATGCTTCATTTCCAGCACAGAGGACAGTCAGTCTGAGATTCTCAGTCAGGATCTGTGTTTGGAAATAATGCCACTCGTGTTCATTAATGAACTGCACTGAATGATATTCAGCAGGTTGTGACGCGTCTCGAGAATCAGACGAGTATGTTCAGCGTTTCTCTGCAGCAGGTGAGGACTCGTGTCGGGACAGATGCGGCTGAAGTGCTACGGGCGTCTTGCAGGAGTCTCCCCTCAGACTCGCAGCCGCTCCGGCCGACACTCGAGACGCAGCCGCAGGCCAAATCCAGCGTCCGTAATCCCAGCCGTCATCCAGTTATCCTTCCCACAGTACACGAGAACCGCTGAGGAAGCCCATCCGCTCCCATACAGACATGTTTAACCGGTTACTGACCTCCACCAACAGGGTATTATCAGTAACCATAAAACCATTAAATTCTTTACTTCAAATAAGATAAACATTAACTGAAATAAAATTAAAATTAAATAAATAAAACGTAAAAATAGGCATATTTTACAAAAACAACGAACTAATAAAAATGACAAAAAAAAACAACACAAAACCTCAACTAAACATTTAAATGAAAACAGTAAATATAAAAATAAAATTTAAAACATTAACAAAAATATGAAACTATTTTATTTTAGGCTAAATATGCTAAAAATAAAAACTATAGGCATGTTTAAAAACTAAAATTTGAAATACTAAGTACTAAAATAAACTAAAAAGTTACAAATCTATAATAAAAACAATATATGCGTATTTAAAAAAAAAAAACAATAATGGCAAACACATAAAACAAAACAAACTAAAATTTAAATGAAAACAGAAAATCTAAAAATAAAATGTAATTTATAATGACAAAAACTAGGTTCCATTAGAGAGATTTTACTAACTGTAAGTAACTTGTCAACTAGCAATCATTAGAGTATTAGTATAAGTCTGCTTAATATCTGCTAACATTTGATTATGATGGACATTCAACTAGTCACATTGCAAGTACAAGTCAACTTATTCTACTAGCACTAACCTAACAGTCTATGGGCCAGTTTTACTAACAGCTTACGCCAGTGCAAACTGTTAAAATAAAAATAGTTAAAATAGTACTGTCAGGTTTTACTAAAGACGCGCAGTGACGAATAAGCGCTGAAAAGGCATGGACAGTTATTTTTGCGCCTGACTTTATTGAATATGCATTTCTAGGAGATTCCCTTTCAGACGCAAAATTCATTGGAGGAGAGTATTCAAATGAATTACGCAACGCATTTTACTCACAGCAAATTACTGGTATTTGTGCCATTATTTAACGCCCAAATAAAGCATGTCTTAAACTATTTTGTGCTTGAAATGCCTGCAATTATTGTTGCTAGAGGAAGAGGAGGCACCGCAGAGATGAGAGAGGATTTTTTCCACACGTATTAATTTATTTTGAATGCCATAAGAACACATTATCCCAACATATCAATGGCCAAGCCATGTTATTTTTAATTTGCTTTAGGAAATAAAAGATGACTTTGAACCCTCAACTAGAAGTCACGCAATACCAGCTCTATCAAAACTTACAGCAGGCCTTCATTTCTTGGCCTCCGGTTCTTTTCATTGTACTGTGGCTTCTTTATTCTTTATTTGCGACTACGCTAGTTTGCGCTGCGCTTGGTATATTGCGTTGGTCGATATGTAAATGAGATGTTACGTCTGTTGTTAGTAAATCACCTGCAGAAATTTCCACGCTCATCCGCTTTTTTTGGAATTGCGCTCTGGCCCTAATACTCTCAGGAGAGTTAGTTGACATGTAGTTACTCATAGGTACTCGCAGGCCTCTCAGAATGCAGTGTACGCAGAAACGCTGGTAGTTTGTGAATGGTGTTGCTGAGCAAGTTTGTGCTGGCCTCACCTCTCCTCCATCCGCACCCAGAGGTCGTTGAACTGACGATGGCGCTGCTTCTTCTGCTTTTTGCGGTGCTTCTTCTTCAGCTTGTGCTCCACCTTCTCCAGGAGCTCCAGGAGATGTGGTTCCTCGTCCTCCTGAAGTTCTCGGCTCTCGTGGAGGAATGGCTCCAGCTCTCCGGACCTTCTGCCGCTGCGAAGACAGAAAAACGCTTTCATACAGACACAGACCCGCTCTGAGACGCTAAAGCAGAAGATGACAGCCGAGACTGGATTTGTTGACGTTCATCTGTGACCCTGGAGCACAAAAGCAGTCGCTGGGGTATATTTGTAGCAATAGCCAACAATACATTGTATGGGTCAAAATTACTGATTTTTCTTTTATGCCAAAAATCATTAGGATATTAAGTAAAGATCATGTTCCATGAAGATATTTTGTAAATTTCCTACTGTAAATATATCAAAACTTAATTTTTGATTAGTAATATGCATTTCTAAGAACTTCATTTGGACAACTTTAAAGATGATTTTCTCAATATTTAGATTTTTTTGCACCCTCAGATTCCAGATTTTCAAGTAGTTGTATCTCGGCCAAATATTGCACTATCCTAACAAACCATACATCAATGGAAAGCTTATTTAGTATATATGTATAAATCTCAATTTTGAAAAATTGACACATGACACTTTTGTGCTCCAGGGTCACATATATTTAAAAAAACTTTAGATCAGACGGTGGCATCTCTTCATAAGGATGAAGGTCTGAATACACGGAACGCTCAAATGCCTTTCACTGGCTTTTGGTTTGAAATAAAAACACTGAATGTGATTGACTGGTTAGTAAAGCAATAAAATATAGACCTTAAAGAGACAGTTCACCCAAAAATGAAAACTGTCATCTTTTACTCTCCCTCAAGTTGTTCCAAACCTGTATGAGTTTCTCTCTTCTGCTGAACACAAAAGAAGATATTCTGAAGCATGTAGGGAACCAGACAGTTGACGGTAGCCATTGATTTCTTTTTTTATACTGTGTAAGTCAATGGGGATCAGAAACGGTTTGGTCACCAACATTCTGCAAAATATCTTCTTTTGAAGAAAGACCCTAGTCAAGAAGTTATACATTTGGAATACATTTATTTCATGAAGTATAGTTCAAATCTATTAACATATTTATTGACATATCGCCGGCTTTTCTGACAAGATGCGAGTTAAATATCGCATGCGATTAATCGTGCAGCCCTACTTGAGACTTATTGATATAAAATAATAATTCAACTTTATTTGGAGTACTACTTGTGCACAATGCACGTTTCTTAATATTAAGCCTAAAATGTGCTTTAATGTCACTATTGATGAGGACTATATGATCTTTGAATAATATCGGTCTTTAAATGCAAGATATTTAAAGTGTACCTGAAGTGTTACGTCACTATATCTTTAGTTGGACTTCCGCACAATTAAAGTTCATTAAGCACAAAATTAGTTGTTCCAATTTAGCAGAGCAGTTTAGTATAGTAAAAGTACAATTGCAGGGTATTTTTAATAAGTACATAAATATGTAAATGTAGTATACTTAGCATAAAATAAATGTATTTCAAATACATTTTAGTATATTTATTTTTCACTAGGCGTAAATAAATAAAACGTAAAAATAGGCATATTTTACAAAAACAACGAACTAATAAAAATGACAAAAAAAAACAACACAAAACCTCAACTAAACATTTAAATGAAAACAGTAAATATAAAAATAAAATTTAAAACATTAACAAAAATATGAAACTATTTTATTTTAGGCTAAATATGCTAAAAATAAAAACTATAGGCATGTTTAAAAACTAAAATTTGAAATACTAAGTACTAAAATAAACTAAAAAGTTACAAATCTATAATAAAAACAATATATGCGTATTTAAAAAAAAAAAACAATAATGGCAAACACATAAAACAAAACAAACTAAAATTTAAATGAAAACAGAAAATCTAAAAATAAAATGTAATTTATAATGACAAAAACTAGGTTCCATTAGAGAGATTTTACTAACTGTAAGTAACTTGTCAACTAGCAATCATTAGAGTATTAGTATAAGTCTGCTTAATATCTGCTAACATTTGATTATGATGGACATTCAACTAGTCACATTGCAAGTACAAGTCAACTTATTCTACTAGCACTAACCTAACAGTCTATGGGCCAGTTTTACTAACAGCTTACGCCAGTGCAAACTGTTAAAATAAAAATAGTTAAAATAGTACTGTCAGGTTTTACTAAAGACGCGCAGTGACGAATAAGCGCTGAAAAGGCATGGACAGTTATTTTTGCGCCTGACTTTATTGAATATGCATTTCTAGGAGATTCCCTTTCAGACGCAAAATTCATTGGAGGAGAGTATTCAAATGAATTACGCAACGCATTTTACTCACAGCAAATTACTGGTATTTGTGCCATTATTTAACGCCCAAATAAAGCATGTCTTAAACTATTTTGTGCTTGAAATGCCTGCAATTATTGTTGCTAGAGGAAGAGGAGGCACCGCAGAGATGAGAGAGGATTTTTTCCACACGTATTAATTTATTTTGAATGCCATAAGAACACATTATCCCAACATATCAATGGCCAAGCCATGTTATTTTTAATTTGCTTTAGGAAATAAAAGATGACTTTGAACCCTCAACTAGAAGTCACGCAATACCAGCTCTATCAAAACTTACAGCAGGCCTTCATTTCTTGGCCTCCGGTTCTTTTCATTGTACTGTGGCTTCTTTATTCTTTATTTGCGACTACGCTAGTTTGCGCTGCGCTTGGTATATTGCGTTGGTCGATATGTAAATGAGATGTTACGTCTGTTGTTAGTAAATCACCTGCAGAAATTTCCACGCTCATCCGCTTTTTTTGGAATTGCGCTCTGGCCCTAATACTCTCAGGAGAGTTAGTTGACATGTAGTTACTCATAGGTACTCGCAGGCCTCTCAGAATGCAGTGTACGCAGAAACGCTGGTAGTTTGTGAATGGTGTTGCTGAGCAAGTTTGTGCTGGCCTCACCTCTCCTCCATCCGCACCCAGAGGTCGTTGAACTGACGATGGCGCTGCTTCTTCTGCTTTTTGCGGTGCTTCTTCTTCAGCTTGTGCTCCACCTTCTCCAGGAGCTCCAGGAGATGTGGTTCCTCGTCCTCCTGAAGTTCTCGGCTCTCGTGGAGGAATGGCTCCAGCTCTCCGGACCTTCTGCCGCTGCGAAGACAGAAAAACGCTTTCATACAGACACAGACCCGCTCTGAGACGCTAAAGCAGAAGATGACAGCCGAGACTGGATTTGTTGACGTTCATCTGTGACCCTGGAGCACAAAAGCAGTCGCTGGGGTATATTTGTAGCAATAGCCAACAATACATTGTATGGGTCAAAATTACTGATTTTTCTTTTATGCCAAAAATCATTAGGATATTAAGTAAAGATCATGTTCCATGAAGATATTTTGTAAATTTCCTACTGTAAATATATCAAAACTTAATTTTTGATTAGTAATATGCATTTCTAAGAACTTCATTTGGACAACTTTAAAGATGATTTTCTCAATATTTAGATTTTTTTGCACCCTCAGATTCCAGATTTTCAAGTAGTTGTATCTCGGCCAAATATTGCACTATCCTAACAAACCATACATCAATGGAAAGCTTATTTAGTATATATGTATAAATCTCAATTTTGAAAAATTGACACATGACACTTTTGTGCTCCAGGGTCACATATATTTAAAAAAACTTTAGATCAGACGGTGGCATCTCTTCATAAGGATGAAGGTCTGAATACACGGAACGCTCAAATGCCTTTCACTGGCTTTTGGTTTGAAATAAAAACACTGAATGTGATTGACTGGTTAGTAAAGCAATAAAATATAGACCTTAAAGAGACAGTTCACCCAAAAATGAAAACTGTCATCTTTTACTCTCCCTCAAGTTGTTCCAAACCTGTATGAGTTTCTCTCTTCTGCTGAACACAAAAGAAGATATTCTGAAGCATGTAGGGAACCAGACAGTTGACGGTAGCCATTGATTTCTTTTTTTATACTGTGTAAGTCAATGGGGATCAGAAACGGTTTGGTCACCAACATTCTGCAAAATATCTTCTTTTGAAGAAAGACCCTAGTCAAGAAGTTATACATTTGGAATACATTTATTTCATGAAGTATAGTTCAAATCTATTAACATATTTATTGACATATCGCTTGAGACTAGGGCTGCACGATTAATCGCATGCGATATTTAACGCGCATCTTGTCAGAAAGCCGGTTCTGTAATCAGCGGTAAATCTCCATCACCTGCGGGCTTTCACGTTGAACAGCATTAACTACACAGAGCCGTTGTTCACTGAGGAGCTGCGCAAAAAATCGTGCGAATATGAACGTGGTTTTGCGCAACTCGTCAGTGAACAACGGCTCTGTGTAGTTAATGCTGCTCAAGAACCGGCTTTACTGACAAGATGCGAGTTAAATATCGCATGCGATTAATCGTGCAGCCCTACTTGAGACTTATTGATATAAAATAATAATTCAACTTTATTTGGAGTACTACTTGTGCACAATGCACGTTTCTTAATATTAAGCCTAAAATGTGCTTTAATGTCACTATTGATGAGGACTATATGATCTTTGAATAATATCGGTCTTTAAATGCAAGATATTTAAAGTGTACCTGAAGTGTTACGTCACTATATCTTTAGTTGGACTTCCGCACAATTAAAGTTCATTAAGCACAAAATTAGTTGTTCCAATTTAGCAGAGCAGTTTAGTATAGTAAAAGTACAATTGCAGGGTATTTTTAATAAGTACATAAATATGTAAATGTAGTATACTTAGCATAAAATAAATGTATTTCAAATACATTTTAGTATATTTATTTTTCACTAGGCGAAACCTGAGGTCGATAAACAATCATTTTTGGTTGAACTGTCCCTTTAAAGGTCTAAATGAAGTTGTGATCTTTGAATAAGAATGCAAGAATTCAGTTCAGAAGAACTTGAGTCAGTCAAATGTATTTGTATAGTGCCTTCACAACATAATATAATATCTTAATATCTTCATGCATTATAGTCAGATTTATCAGATTAGAAATGTAGGATAATACAGTTACATTTTGTGACAATATCAACAATCAAGCAGTTGATTTGCTATATAGTGTATATCGCTTTATGTGAGTGTACTGTATTTATGTGGATAAAACTTTCTATGACGAGCAGAGTAAACTCCTCAAAATAACACTCGACAGTTGCTGGACTGGTTTGCAGTGAATGAGTCGCTGTCGTTCCCGGCGTCTGCTTCCTCCATCTGCTCCTGATCAAACCTCTCCGACTGCTAAAGCATCGCAGGAATTTATGACAAATGCAAATAAGCCGTACGTTTTTATAATGGAACTTTCTGGACCTCGGGTTTCCAGTGTCTCCTTCAATCTGCCAATCCATTCATTTGAGATGGAAACGATGCTGTGATAGAAGGAGGGATTGTTTCTGCTGATGATGGACGGGTTAATCGGACTGATGAGAGCACAGTGCAGGAACATGAGCACTGATGATGAGATGAAGAGAGGAACGATCCTGTGATTCCTCGGTACAGTCCGTCTGCGGCTCGGTGAAATCACGGAGATACTACTGTAGTTTTGTAGCGGTGCTCTAAGTCGGGGTCTTCTAAGTCGAAGCCGGATCTGCGGAGCGTCGTTCTTCAGGGCACCAAGCTAACAGCTCTGATAACACCAGAGGTCTGTCTCGAGAGACTGATTCCCTTAGCAGACTATTTAACAGTGTGGAAGCTTCTGCCAAATGTGTCTCAGTGGGTCCTGCACACTGTAGAAATAGGTTACCTCATTCATTCAGTTCTCCTCCGCCTCGTTTCAATGGGGTGATCCCCACTCTGGTGGGCCCCCGAGCAGGCTCTGGTAATGGAACAAGAAGTAAACACTCTCTTGAGGAAGGAGGCCATCGAGGTGGTCCCTCCTCTCGACAGAGAGTCCGGGTTCTGCAGCTGGTTCTTCATCGTTCCAAAGAAGGATGGGAGGTTGCGTGCCATTTTAGATCTGCATCAGTTGAACCGCTCAGTAATGTGG